AGCTGTGGTTCATAGCACTTTTAATGAAATATGTTAGTTAGAAATGATGCTACTAGACACCTCTTGATGTTTTGTTCTCACTAAGATCATTTGCTCTTGTGTTCAATGTCTTTATAAGAAAGCAATTATTTGCATGGTAGAGTTTTAAACCTCCAGTGACAGTTTTAGAAAAGACAACAGGCAAAGCAATACCACGCAAAAGGCTGGGTATTGTTTTGAAGCTGGAATGTTCAAATTGGTCATTTTGAAATGGATCAATTGGAGGTTGAAATATTCCACATGTCCGCTACATAAATATTCAAGTGTACTTAGCAATATATACTTTTATGTAAATCTTGGGAAGCATATTTAGATAAAGTATTTTTGTTTAATATTTTTAGAAACCTCAGGCAATGATCCATTAGATTTAAAAAAAATCTGCATCGTGTCAGAAATAAGCCTCATTAAATTCAGTGAGGCTTATTCCCAGATGAGTGCATTCAGGGCTGCAGCCTAGTCTATTATATTATCATGATCATCAAAACACGCATGATTCAACAGATTTCACAGGGAAGGATTAAAACAACAAAGAGATAACCATCTTCAGTGCTCTTATTATTGATTTTTCCCCTTTCTGTTTTTATATTCATGATAAGGCATTTGACAGAGTTTGGAACCCCATTTTAAATAGTGATTTTCACCACAGTTTGCAATTATCTAGTAGAATGTAAAATGTTCTAGTTTGCAATTCTTGAATATATGATAAAATTCTGGCACATCTATCATATTGCTGTGTGGCAATGAGAACAGCTATAGTATCAAACAAGATGTAGCTTTTCAGTCTACATTATTAATTTATTTCAAGTATATCTATATTACATTTGAATAAGAAAAAAATCAGAATTTGGAGCTAATTCTTTGATAAAGTACAGCACATATAATTAGTCAGAGAAGTGTGTGTGTGTGTGTGTGTGTACATGTATCTTTTACTATTACATAGGACTTTTTCTGTTATTTTTTAAATTAAAATTAAAATGTAAAATTTTGCAATTTACACAACATGATTAATTACATTGATTAAGGATCCAATAAGGTCTGTGAACTAATAAATCTAGTCATATTGTGATGAAAGATCAGTTTTAACCCAGTATTGTATCCCTGTATCCCTGTTCTTTGAACATTTCAACCCTATGGGATTAAGTCTTTCCCAAACAATCCTCTAAGGCAGGGGTCCTCAAACTATGGCCCAGGAACCAGATACGGCTCACCGCATGGACCACAAGGCTGCCCAAATCATTCCACCTACTCGCCAGTCTTCACCTGCCTTCTGGAGGCCAAGGCCAAAAACGGGATGTGCAGAGGCCTCGGGCCTGCTTTTGGCCTCCCTGGCCTTGAGAAAGAGAGATGGAAGGAGGGAGAGAGCAAGAGCGAGAAAGAGAGAAAGACACACTCACAAACAAACAAACAAACAAACAAGGCCCTCACACAAACACACATACACACACACACATCCTTTCACTAACCTGCTTTTTACCCCCATGAGGATAACAAATTAAAGTTTAATTTGTGTGTATTGTTAGTGGACTGCTAAATTGGCCACATGACCACCTTGCCATGCCCCACCCAGTCACATGACCACGTAGCCATGCCACCTAGCCAGTCTGAGGGGCCGCGAATTGGGCCACTGTTTAAAAAGTTCGAGGACCCCTGGTCCAAGGGAATAAAATGAAAAAGCACAGAATAAAATGGGATTATCAAGACAAGGAAACACAGAAGATGTCCAAAAATGATTGGCGGCAATATTCAACCAAACTCACTGCTGCTATGCTTGAAAAGGGTTACTATTACAATGTAGCTGTACTAGTATTCTGCTAAAACAAGAGTTCAAAAGACACCAGGGAAGACTAGATGAAAGGAATAGCTTTCCCCAAATTATGATTGTGACTCACTTAGCAGGCTGTTAATATTTTAAATTCATATATATTCTTTGCTTTTTTTAAAAAAAAGTTGCATATACTTTACTACAAAGTTCATATGGCTGAGTTCTTACATAAGAAAACAAATGAGGCCCACCTCAAAATAAAATAATTTCTTCATCCTGAAATACATATATCAACAGATGAATGATGCCTAAACATACTTTTTTAAAAAAAATTGATTATTTAATAAGAACTAGTGAATTTACAGAGTTCGTCCTACAGGAAAAGTACTAGGGAGAATATAAACTAGATGTTTGGCATGAGAGACTTCAAGAATTGAGGAAATTATTTTCCACAACCTGCAAATTAACTTTGCCATTTTGTTGCCCTATTTTCACCCTCCTCGTGTGCAAAGTGGATCTCTGTAGAGCCTCTTTGATCCTGAATTCCTAATTTTGCAGAGTATATAGTCCCATTTTAGAACTTTAGTCTGGACTCAAGGAAGATCGTAAGAACATGGTGAGGCAGGACTTGTATGGTCATTCTTGTCCTCCCTGCTGGGTGTTGTAGAAAGTCTTAAAGGGTCAGGTGACTCTGCCATAGAATTATGACTGAAAGCAACTGCTTAGAATGTCAGTAACCAAATTAATATTATAAATAATCACTCTTAACTGTTTGTTCAGTCAATAATTTGCCACCCAGAGCAGGAATGTCAAACTCACATCATCTTGGGGGCATCACATGATGTATCAGGACTTTTTCTCCCTTCGCTAAACCAGGCATAGGTCTCAGCAGCGCATGATGCATCCGGCCCATGGGCTTTGAGTTTCACAGGCCTGACCTAGAGTCTAGAAATGCCATAATTCTTTTTTTTTAAAGGATGTTGTAGAACACTAATTAAACAATTCCTTTACATAAACCATGTATATTCTTCCTTATGTTTACTCCAATATAGTAAGACTGTGGTCTTACTAATATTTTTGACCAGTTTACTTTCACCCTAACATTGGATTGGAGACAAACTTATAATCACACCCACTGTTCCAATACTCTGCAAAACTTTCTAAAAACATCTACTTTCAAAAGTTTTGGAATTATAATTCTTGCATCCCAACATATTTGAAGGAACCTAAGAAAAGAAAGGCTAATGTGGAACTTTTATCTGCTTAAATCTGTGACATCATTGCAAATATGTCATTCAATCTAGGAGATTATTTTCATGTACTTGCTCTTTGGCATGGCTTTGGACTCCAGTTAGACATTTTAGAAGGCTGGAGAGAAAAATAAAACCAGAACATTGAAGCTATTTAACAGCATGTTGCAAAACATACTGCCAAATCCTAGGAGGACATTTTTAAAACCAAGACGTATCTGCAATTAACAACTAGAGTAGTAGAAGAGATGCAGTTTATTAGCACAGAGAGATGTTGGATTAGTGCATGCTGGTTATTGCAAATATTACATGTAAATTAAACTGCAGGATTTGAATGAAGTTGAATGATGCTACTCCAAAGCTGAATAGTTGCAAATATTTATCTAATACAGGATTTTATAATAGCAGCAATTCAATGGTTTTAAAATGCAATCATGCCCTCAGTATACGTTGGCATTGTATTATATTATAGCTTCCTCTATCAAGTTATTACAGTACTTTGATTTATATTGTAACAGGTTATTGACAACTGATTTATCCCCCAGGTAACCATAGGAGTGCACAGATATGTTTATCATAAAGTTACCATAAAGAATGGCGGGGGAGTCTTGCACTAATATGGGTGGTACTCCAAAACATAAGCTGCTATGGAATCCCATGCAGTTTTGCTTTCCTTCAGAGTCTACCCAGGTAAGTCCTTTTCTCATAGCATCTATTATTATTAGCTTTTCCAGTTGGTAGGTTCCCTATTAGATTTAATTTTGTACCAGGGTAAAATGATCTACATTCATGTTTACAGCGCTAATGGTCAAAGGCAATCTACATAATATCTAGATTTAAAATAAAGAAAATGTATAGGGTAACCTTGCTATTGCTTTGGTGCCCAAGACAATTTTTAAAAACTCTATATAGAGACACAATAACAGTTTAGATAAGAGAGATCTGCTCTTTCGCATGATAGATGATAGAAGACATTTCTAAGTGACTGAATAAAAAGAAATCATCAAATATCTCTGTTTTGTATTTCATTCTTGCTTGATACCTTACAAATTCAAGAACAAAGGTTCAAAGATTTCCCTAGATAAATTTATTTTAATTTTAAGCACTAGCATGTCAACAGATATCTATTGTTGTTTTATAGGCTTCATGGGAATAGTGTTTCAGTGGGGACACATTCAATGTGAGTATGGAATTTGGCTGCTAAATGCCATGTACACTATAAATATCAAACAACAAACTAGCATCCAACATTCTTAATAAAAGTAGGGAAAATTTATTTAATGTAAAAGTTTCTGTATTATTTCTATCACTAATTTGTTAAAGTGTTCTTTGTACCAAATACAGACTCCTCCTTATTATCCTCATCCTCTTTCTCATCACCTTTTGCACTTTTTCAACAGGCATGTCCTTCAGAACTGACTGAGACTTACTTGGGAAGAAAACATGCTTAGATCCTGGCAGTTAAGACATCACTAATACTTCTCTCTGTCAAACACTGTACTCTTAAAGTTCAGTGATGTACAGATATCCCAAGGGAGGCATATTCCACTAAGCAAGAACTCAGGATAGTAAAGTGAATTGTAGTGGATGGAGGGTGACACTTTTATATACATGTTTTTTTTAAGTTAAATCTCTCCTCAGTGAGAATCCCAGAAGCCTGCAAAAAGCACAAAGCAAAATTCAGCACTGCAGATTTCAGTTGGAAGGATACATAAAAATAAAACTGATTATTTTTTCTCTAAAATAAACAAATTCATGCCACAATATTAGGAATCTAAACTCAGTAGTTCAATGAACTTAACTCCCAGTGGATGGGCATAAGGCTTAAATCTCAGCATCTTATTACATTACATCAGACAATATTAATTATATCATATTTGCATGCACACACATACACAAACAACTGCATCAAGTTTTGAGGAGCGGATAAAAGTTGCAGAGTCTCTTACCGTCTGACAAATCTATTAGTCCAAGGTAGTGCAAAAGTTTCAAAGAGGAACAAATCACCACCACAATCCCTAAAGTCTGGAGCCCTTCCGACTCGCCTTCGCTCCACATCCTTTAAAGTAGCACACCAATCTGGTATCTAAGAAAACGGCAGGCAGGAGTTGAAAGCAGGGGGGAAATCAGCCCTTTGATGCCTTTCTTCCTGCTTCTCTGTTAGTGCAAGCCTCATTTTCCTTCATTCATTCCTCTGCTTCTCTCCGTGTGTGCAGGAGTATGAATCTCACCCTTTCCCTGTTTCTCTCTTCCTTCGCCTCCCCTCCTCCCCTAATACTCACTCTTAAGGCTTATCATTTCTATATTTTAACTGATGATTTAGTCTCTCTCTCTCTCTCTGCCTCTCCAGAGCAGTTTGTATCCTTCATTTAGTACACAACTCTACATTGCTAGTCATACAGCAGTGTCTGTGGTGGAGCTGTTATTTTCCACTAGGGATTATTTGTTTAACTCTTTTTCTTCTAGCTTTCGTTGCTTCGTATGATGGAAGATGTAGTAGGAAATCTCTCCCCAGTTCCCTTTTCCCTATTGTACTCTTCTTGATGCTCCAAGTAAAGTATCTGAGTCTCAAAACTTCCATTCCATTCAGAAATATCCAATTGAGGGCTTCAAATATGCCCAGGGGTCAGTTGAAGAAGCTGCAAGACCAAACTAAGCAAAGCCTCTGTCTCACTTGCTGCTGAGACCACTACTAGTCATCCAGTTACTCAGTTCCACTATTGGTGAATGGATGTAAAAACAGGAAGATGGTAACTTATTAACTTATTTTTAATATGTTCCCAGAGGGCCAAAGCATTAGTGAATGGATGTAAAAACAGGGAGATGGTAACTTATTAACTTATTTTTAATATGTTCCCAGTGGGCCAATGCATTTGTATTTTGTCTTGGATTAATAACGAGGCCCTCATCAGTCAAGTCAAGCCTTATTAACAAGCCTTTTAGGACTGTGGATAGAATAGATCTTCCATTTTAAAATGCTGAAATCCAAGATTTTAGAGTTCGTGCCTTGAAACCTCCACAGATATCAGCAAGCATCCCATAATTGTGTAGGATAATTTCAGCTTCATTAAAAAAATTTTTATTTTTTTATTAAAACTGGGTATCCAGTGTCTGAACAAGCTGCTGACTCTGCCCTGTTCATATTAGATATTTGTGCTTGGGTTGTCTATTTTTTTTTTCCAGATGGTTAAATCTAGTCTTCCATCCAGCCTATGTTTTTAGATGAGAACTGTAGCCTGCAGAACTGCTGACTTGATAATTGTCTTTCTTCATGTAAATTTATGTCCCATGTAAGCATGTCTTATTTAATTTTAAATGTTAATACAACAGGACACATCTATCCAATTTCAATTCCACTAACATATTTTTCTATGCAGTTTTTTAAATTAAGTACACCTTATGTACACCAAATACAGTTTGTATTTCCTTAGTGAAAGAAGAAATTGACACAACATTAATCTGTGGAATGGCTTGCCTACAGAAGTTGTGGGTGTTCTAACACTGGAGGCTTTTAAGAAAAGACTGGACAAGCATATGTAAGAAATAGTATATGGTTTCCCGCATGAGCAGGGGATTGGACTAGAAGACCTCCAAGGTCCCTTGCAACTCTGTTATTCTCTTAAATTACATTTGTGCTTACTTTATGCTATTATATTCCTTTCAGATTATAACTTTTGGGTTGCACAACATTTCACATAATTCTTAACATATACTAGAATATTTTTTTTAATATAGTACAGGTCTGGTCTTAGTATACATGTATTTATTTCAAAATTTTGTTGGTTTAAATTCCTTCTTTTAAAAATCCTAAAAATATGTCCCTTGGATAATACTGAAATGATTATAAAGATCTTGGAGAGGAAAATGTAATTTTCTAACTATATAAGTTCATACATTAGGGAGTTATCATATGTATGTTCATGTATGTCCTTTCTTTCTTTAATAAAATTATATATTTATTGAAAAAGACAGTACATTGTTACAGTGTTAAATTAGATATGAATAGCAAATGCAGAATGGAAATGATACTATTAAAGAATAATGATGAAATGTGTCTGCGCATTTGTGTGCTATTTTACACAGCAAACATCACTTAAAGGTCAATCTTGTCAATCCAATTTAAACACTCAAGTGGATTTAAGCCTTTTTGCTGTTTCCTGGTTATTTTAACTCTCAACATTTCCATCCAATGGATAGGCAGAAACAATATGAGATTTCTACTTGTGTTCCATTGAACACTATATAAATTTCCTATTCAGATATTATTATTCAATGCTGCAAAATCTAAAAATGGGAGGACAAGAAAGGACTGGCATGCACAGTATTATTTCATTCTTAGCATGGTCAGCTATGCTTTTCAAAATCTATTTGGTGATGCCATAAATGTAATTAGGTAGATATAACTGGATAGCTTAAATTTATTTAAATGTGTTAAAATCACTTGAAAAGTAAAATGTCTACTGAAGGTGAGTTTCAGACCAATACTTACTAAGAGATTACATTTTTTTTCTTTAGCAAAAGTTGAAGAATACTGGGATATTCATCCAGATAAGAAAAAAATATGAAAGTGTTATCTTAGATGACAGAAGAAATACTGAAAGTGTTTTTTGAAGTGCCATCTGATATAATAATACATCCAATTTCTTACATTATTTGTCAGATTGCCATTCCATTTTTCTATGAGATCACATTCTTTAAACCCACGAATCCATATGTACTGCTCAGTTGAGAAAAGTCCTAAAGGAGATAGCTTGAGTCTAATAAGCTTTTCAAGGATGCTTGTTGTGGAGCCCAACTTGAGTTACTTATGGTCTTCAAGCAAGAAATAAATAGACATTGCCATTTTAAGTGTATTGGCATATCAATTCATCTGGCACTTGAGAGCATGCAATTTTTCAAAAGCTTGGTTCCTTCCAGGCAGAGGAAGAGCGCAAGAAATGAATCAGATTTGTCAGCTGTGTCATGGATTTTACATTCTGTTTTCTACTCTTGATACTCCCACCCAGGAACTGTATGCAATTGTGAAGCCAGATCCTTCCTAGTTAACAACAGACATGGGAAACATTAAGGAGATATGATAGAATTCCTATTTCTGAAGTGCTGTCTACCCATTTTTATATCTGCTGTGGTTTCTGGTTTTTAATATTTCAAACCTTCCTAATACCATTGCAAGATAACAGACCGTATCTATATCTATCTCTATTTAGCTATCACCTCTATCACTATCAAGTACCTTCCCATTTCTCACAAAAGATTTTGTATCTTCAGATTATATTTCCTTTGAAGGACCTGGTGCCATTTTAGAAAAAGGCGTAATAACCCTGCTTAGTTATAGAATTAGAATTATTATTTAAGTTTCTCCTAATATAAATAACTATTGCAGTTTTACAGAATTAATTGCATTAATGTTTCTTTCCGATATTTCATCATTTGTAATCAATCATGTTCCCTGCTGATACAATACTACAGGAATGGAAATTGATACTTAAGAACCTGTATCTAGTTTGAGTCGATAGCTCTACGGAAGAGCAATCAGTTATGAGTAGAATTCCTGCTTTTTCATGTTAAATTATTCTCAAAGATAGAATGGTAAGTTGATTACTAGCATACATCTAGGCTTCCCTTTTTTTAGAATTTAGAGACTGGGAAAAGAAAAAAAACCAATCCACAGCAATCCACCAATCTATGTAACTTTTGATTGCTTCCATACACACCCTTCCAACTTTATATTTGAAATATATGCACACATGCATATAATGTTATTTGAAATACATGCCACATGCATATAATGTTATTGTTTGTATTTGGATGTGAATAATACATATGGATAATGTGGACTTGGATATGTATAACACACTCAAAGTTATTCTTTGGTTTCACAAAGTTTCATTGGTGTTTCTCCTCAGTCTTCTTTATCCTCCAAATCCTCCAAAATGACAATTCATGCACAAGATTCAGGAAATGAAAGGAAAAAAAAGGAAGATAGTCTTGCAGGTGAGGAGGACACTTTCCTTTGGAGAAGAGTAATACAAGAGACATTAAAAGCACTGAGTTATTTAATATAAACAAGTGAAAATGATGCTTTATTGTCTTCCTTCCGATCTTTACTTTGAGATCCAAGCATTCCCCTGACTCTAATTCACAGCAGCCAAAACAGAAGGTAACTTTTGTTAAACAATTTATCCTCGTATAGTCAATTAATGAGAGAAAGAAGTCCAATGGTGTACAGCTTTGCAGACTGATTTGGCCCTGAGGTCCTTTTGCCCATCTAACATGCCATGGCTCAAGGTTTTTTTTTTTTTTGAAGTGTTACAAAATTACTGAAATAAATTATTCTTGGACTACTATCAGGATCACAAACAATCTTTATAATGCCAGCATTAGGAACAGGCATTGGTTTGTATTACCATGCATTTGTATCCTTCTTCTTTACTTAGCTTTCCCATTCCCCACCCCCACCCCCAAATCATTTGAAAAAACTCTCAAAAACATACTCTTAAGTGACTTACGATGGTCTGTAAAAGTTAAAATTGGCCAGACGTTTCTATATAAGAAAATAATAATAATAAAATGCTACATAAAATATAAAATTATAAGTTTAGGTGACAGGTTATAGATTATGTCCCATCTCCCTGTGGATCTTGACCAAGCTCTGATGTTCTTGATATGCCTTGAATTCACGTAGATTGCTTCTCCTTAATAGCATATAACCAAGCTCTATCCTCTAGCAATAATTCATCAATGTGTCTTAAACAGAGGTTGGTTGCCAATTTTTTTTACTACCAGTTCGGGCGCGCTCCTGTGCCTGTGTGCAACACTTTTGCGCATGCACAGAAGCATCTGGGTGTAGCCTCCTGCCACCGCTACTAGTGTTTGGCCTATGCAGGCTGAACTGGCAGCAACCACCTCTGGTCTGAAACTGTAAAATGTGTATGAAAACAACTTTTGGACTACATAATGAAAATCATGTGTCCCACATTCTTTTACACAAAGACAAACACACACACACACTCCTATTTTTATTGGAGGGTAGGAACAACAACAATTCTGAGCTGACCTCTAGTGTTTTTAGCATTTCACCTTGCTACTACATAGTGACCTAATGAACAAATGAACATAAAGGACACAGGATTCCTTTCTGAGACATTTCCTAACCTTTAGTCACTGGCCCTGCCTTCTGCCTCTTGAATAGCCTTTTGTAGTTCTTGCTGCCAGTATTTATCATCAG